TTGGGATGACGCTCTCACATACATAGACACACATCTACACAGGTGTATGCATTTTAGTTCACACAAACACACGCATATAAACAATCGCAAAAGCATGAAACCCAGGGTTACAAACTAATATCCATGCAACTGAATATGTTAGCTCTATCACGGATAGTGAGCACTTTTCACTAAGTACCACGCACACACACACACACACACACACACACACACACACACATATATATATATATATATATATATATATATATATATATATATATAATAAAAAGGCTTAAACACTAATATTCCATGGTCATATGTATGTATATTTTCCACTAATATTATCTAATATATATATATATATTAAAAAGGCTTAAACACTAATATTCCATGGTCATATGTATGTATATTTTCCACTAATATTATCTATATATATATATATCTTAACATCAAGAAAATTACTAGAGAACTGGAAAGGATCATTATAAAAATATACAGACATAATGTCTCTATTATTCAATGAAACATGATTGAATGAAGATATGCTGTCATTTTTGTGTGACGCATTTCATCTTTTTGGACTTCATTGGGATAAAGCGATGTTTACATTGATGCATGCAAAGGAAAAAGGGTACTGAAATTTTTAATTTAAATTTAAAATTTTTTTTTTTTTTTTTTTTTGTTTTGGGTTCTTGTTTCCCTTGTTTGTTCTGGATATAACAAAAAAATAAATTATACATTGTTTTCAACATACAAACATATATGCACACGCACACACATATATAGTTTTCACGTATACAAACATACACATACACATATATTTATTATCACTATAAGTTAGTTTTTCGTATTCTTCAGTTGCCTTTCTTCGCAGTTACTGTTATCTTAAATAACAGCAATAATCAATCTTGATAGGGATAAGACGAGTCTTCTTTTCTTTGGGTTTGAAGATTTTGAATTAAAGACAACTCGGACTGACATAAAACCTACTATCTTAAAAAAATTTAGTCTTAACTTGCTTTTTTCTTATTTTATCAAAAATGTTTTCAAAACAGTAGTTTACTACCCTCCACCACACACATTCTCTTTCTCTCCAGTGCATTTGTTTTTGTTTATTTTGAAGTAATTCTAAATGATTTATATGCCTAGAAAAAAAACTGAAACATATGTTATATACCAGGCATGAGCAAAGTTTTATAAACAGTGGGTTCACATATAATACGAATTATCATAATGTGGGTTGCACTAATGTTTAAGTGGAAAAAAATCTGTCAAATTAATAAAAATTAAAAAATCCATGAATTCTTTAGAAATTTCTTCGTTTACGTTTGGATATGAAACTGAGCAGATATGAAATTTTGAGAATCTATGATTTAATTTAAAGGCACTATTCAGCTTTGTTTGATTGGCAATGTCTTTTGTGGCTGAGTTTGTATAAGCATGTTGGATCTAATGGCGGTTTCTCCTAACAAGGAGAATGCAGGTTTGAATCTTGCCGGTGATTGCATTTTTTTTACAAGATTTCTCAAATTGTAAGCTGGTAGATGATTATATACTTTTTGAAAATATGAAAACATTGCATCTACAGAAATATAAAAAATAACGTTTAAGTGATAGAAGACTATGAGTAAGCCTTATAGATGGTGAAAATTTTTTTTTTTTTTTTCGATAATTAAAAAAGTTGAAGTATTGGTATAATATTATCACTAAGAACAGTCCGATTAACACACATTGCTTCAGCATCTGTCTATATTTCTGAGATGAAGTATTATCATCCTCATCTTTGTTGCCATATTTATCACAATGTTTGACAGGAGATAACTGATGGCATCCATTAGACATAGCACGTGGAATTAGAACGGTCTACCCCAGCGAGCGAAATAAAGTGTTCAGTTTGACATTCCAACCACCTGAAGAAGGCTGGAGTGTACAACAGCCGAAACGTTGTGATAAATATGGCAACAAAGATGAGGACGATAGTCCAAATAATGTAAATAGTTCACATGTTGCTGTGTGTGATTTCTTTCTGATTTATTTATTTGAAAATAAAAAATCATTTTTTTTTTAAATTTTTTTTTCAATAAAAAAAAAAAAATGTATTTCTTATATCCAGGGGGAAAAATTATTATGAATGTTTCCTGTTTCTAAAGGAAAAGATTTTTGCATGTCTTCCATAGTGAAAATCACCAATGGTTTAAAATGATAGCATTACCACCGATGAAAGTTCACAAAATTCAAAAGACGTTGTGTTTAATTTATTTCATGGATATGTTTATGTACGAGACAGTGAGTGAACAAGTGAGACTGAAATGGACAAAAATTTGAATAAACATGAAATTAAGCATGCAATTCAGAAAGCCAAATGAACCGCTGTTTGCTAACAATTGCTATATAATGTGATATAGGACATAAATGAATGGAGTCGTCCGTTTATGTAAATAAGCGGAGTTGAGGAGAGTTAGCATTAGGTCAATTGCTAAGTGTACCTTTGTGTAGTAAACCTTCTATTTCATTACTTACCTACAAGTTTGTCTTCCTTATTTATTCTCCTCTGTTATCTAAAAAACATGAGATGCAAACATTTAGCTAACTGATGCTATCTAAGAAACCATATTTACCTATTCAAATTCACTAGTTTAACTTAGACAAACTTAAAAATGGATCTTGTTTGTCACCCTGAGACTGCATGTATTGTGTGTATGTGTGCACACACACAGGTTTTCTTCACAAATAGAAAAGTTACAGTGTCTCAGGACCAATATATATATATATATATATATATATATATATATATATATATATATATAATATCAAATCCATAAGTGGAAACAATAATCCAAGTAGGTTTTTTTTAATATAAAATATTAAAAAATAAAGATCCATAAAGAGAGATCAATATATAGTATACAGAGCAATATTATATACATCAAGGAAAAACTTAATGCATCATCAAAAACATGATTATGAATAATAATTTATTTCAATGGGAAAGTTTTTAATAACCATCTCATCAGACTGAAATTACAATAGTTTAAATTTACAAAATGGTTTAAATTAGGTGCTTTCACTTTTTCACGGAAAAAACAGCATAATACCAAAATTACACAAAAAAAGTCTTGAAATACTAAAGAGTAAATTTATTCAATAAAATCGCCATTGGCTTCAATGACGGCCTTCAGACGACTTGGGAATCTCCTGCAACTCTTCTGGACAGTCTCCTTGTTTAAGTTAATGAATGCTGCCATAATCCTTGCCTGCAATTCATCTTTGGTGTTACAAGGACTTTTATTGATCTTTTTCAACTGTGCCTCACACATAATAATCAAGCTGATTGCAGTCCAGGGAGTTAGGTGGCCAAATGCAAGGGGTAATGTGGTCACAGAAGTTGTCAGGTAGCCATAACTGGGTTCTCCTGTTGCCAGTCATAGGGTCTTCCAGTAGCCAACTTCTTGACCCAGGGCAGCACTATCTCCTCAAGGTACTTGATGTAGGCCAACATGTTGAGTCTGAGGTGCTCACCAACAAATTTGGGCGTTCTTTTCTTATCAGAGTGAGTTTTCTGAGGTGCCATACGTTCATAGTCAGCATTAGTCTCATCAGACTCTTTCTGAATCCTCTGCACTGTCCTCAGATTGACACCCAAACACTCTGAAATGTTTGCATTGGAGCTTCCACGGCATATGCCAAGCAGTACAGCATGCAGTTTCCAAATTTTTGGCAAATCCATTTGTGTCAAGGTGCTTTTTTCTCACAGATGGTGCAAACTAACCCTACTTTACTGTGCTGTCAATTGACAAAATCCCCCTAAAAAAAAAAAAAAAAAAAAGCACATATACAAAATTAGAAATATAAGATGGCAACAATTTACCCATCACACCCTGTGTGTGTGTATATATATATATATATATATATATATATATATATATATATATATATATATATAAAAAAAAAAGAAAGAACAGTAAGATATAAAATCCGTGTTCTTATAGATATTTTTATTTTTACAAAATAGTGCTCAATGTAAATTTACAGAGCATTAATATTATAAATTAATTGATTTAGAATATGTTTTTTTTTCGCTACACAGTTCCACCCATTCGGGGTTTTTAGCTTCTATTTTTGAAACATGGTTGGAACTGTGTAGCGAAAAAAAAAAACATATTTTAAATCAATTAATTTATAATATATATATATATAATGTGTGTATCTATCTATCTCTCTCTCTCTCTCTCTATATCTCTCTCTATATATATATATATATATATATATATAATGTGTGTGTATGTATATATATAATTTTTTTTTTTCTTTAAAAATAAGTCACATTGAAATATTGACATTTCTGAACAGGAATTGTTCTTATGTCATATATTTAACAATTTTGAAATTGTTTTGGCAATATATTTGAAGCTAACACATAAAAAATGGTAGCATATCAGACAGTCAATGAAATTAATATCCATTTTATTAGATTTAATTGACTACAGCTGGTTGTATCTATGGCCTTATCAGTAAAGCAACTGTCATGTTAAAGTATGCTTAACGAAGAAACAGGATGCATGTTGGTGATTTGTCTGAGGCTTATTTTTTCCCCCCAATCTGTTTTGCTTAATAAAGGTTGTTGACTGATGGCTGAAAATTATAAAAAGCAACAAAAATTATGATGAAAGAAAATGAGACTAATACAAAAGATATTAACAAAATAATAAGGGACTTTTAATCTGATCTAATAGTCATTATTAATAGTTGTTTTAGTCATTACTGTGTTTTCTGCAAACAGAATTTACATCAAATGTAAGTAATTGCATTTTATTAGATTTATATTAGCAATAAAGTAAATATGTAGAGTTTGGCAAATTTATTGATGTTATAGAAAATAGATGAAAGTTGGAAATTTTTTGATTTATAAGTTTCAAATAAATTTGATTCAAGGTTATTATAGATAAAATAGTTTTATATGACTGAATCAATATTGAAGTATCTTAATTCACTGTTTTATTTTGCATATTTTTTTCCAGGCAATACAGCACCAAATTTGACACAGAAATTTGGCATGGACGTACTCCTGGAGAAGTTCCCTTGGTCCGATTGGATGAATTCTCTGAAGAATTGTTTGCAAGTTACTCGGGACCTGACTTAGGATTGGCCTGCAATGAAGTCCAAAGTAAATGAACATTTTACAATTTTTGTTATTTTTTTAAAATTTATTTTTCAGTGTAAACCCTACAATTATTTCTACTGCATTCTATTTTATGTGTCATGTCCCTTCAGGATGTAGGCAATCATAGTCTTCCACATCATGCTGTCCTTTGTAGCTCTGAATCAGTTTTGATTTTTTGTTATTTTGTCCAAACCCATCTCATCAAGTATATTATGCTCTGCACTCATCTGTCCCTCTATCTGTCCTGTGAGTATCATTTTCTCCAAGCCCTCCTTTCACATTATGTGCTCCAGAAATGTCAACTGCCTCTTCCTGATGTTAAATATAAGTTTTCTTTTTGTTTCCATTCTCTCCAAAACCTCAATGTTGCTCACATGGTTGGCCCATGGTATCCTTAGCATCTTTCTATAGAACGACATTTCTGTTGCTTCAAGTCTCTTCTTCATCTTTGAGGTGATTGTCAAGCATTTGCAGCCATACAGGACAGATATCACAAAAGTTCAGTACTCTGTCCTTTATTTCTAATGAAATTTTTCTGCCTCTTACGCTGATTAGTTTTTGGAATGCATCTTTGGTCATCCCAATATGTCTTTGGATCTCTGTGTCACACTTTCTATTGTTAGAAAAAAGTCTTTGATAATGATTATATTCAATATGGAATATAAATATTATTGTTTCACAAACCCGGACACATGGCACAGTGGATAAAGATGTTAGTTAGATCCAGTGACAAGACCCAAAGAGTGTGAGTTCAATACCTGGTTAAGGCAGTGGAGAACTTTCAGAAGGGAATTAACAGGAGATAACTGACATCCATTAGACATGGCACATGGAACTAAAACAGTCTACCCCAGTAAATGAAATAAAGGGTTCAGTTTGACACTCCAACTACCTGAAGAAGGCCGGAGCGTACAACGGCCGAAATGTTGTGATAAACATGGCAACAAAGATGAGGACAATAGTCCGAATAATGTAAATAGTAAACTCGGAATATATTCAGCATTTTTTATCCACCCATGTTCCCAAGCCTCAATGCCTGTCAGTGTCAACAACATTCTGAGCAATTACCGTTCAGTAGGATCATCCATAATTGATGAAATCTATTGTGGTTTTGTTTTACATACATAGTCTAACCATCTTTGTACAATTTCAGGTTGCTGGGTTTTAAATTCAGAATTTTTCTTTACTTAGACTGGTTACCAATCACACCTAGAGAGTCCAAATAACTTTAAGAGAAAGATTTTATAAATTTCAACTGATAGCAGTACTTGCTTCTCAGTCAATGAATACTGAATGTTTCTGTAAGGGAACTACTAATATTGCCATTACCATTTAAAGAAGAAACCTTTTGAAAGTAACTTTGAAGTGATAAAAGACAACAGAACTTATTTATATTATTTGGACTGTTGTCCTCATCTTTGTCATATTCACAATATTTCATCCATTGTACTCTCTGGCCTTCTTCAGGTGATTGGAATTTCAAACTGAACCCTTTATATCATCCACCAGGGTAGATTGTTCTAGTTTCACGTGTCATGCCTCTTCCAGATGTCTCAGTTATCTCCCTTTTATTCAACTCTCTGCAGAGCCAGTTATTGAACTCAAAACTCTTTGGGTCAAGTCACTGGATCCAACTAATGCTTTTATCCACTGAGCCATGTGTATGAATTTTTGGGACTTATAATCCTAATGTCTCAGTAACCATTTTTTACCAGAGCTCATATTGCAATTTTGTTGTTATTATTGCTCCATATTACTGGTTCCCATATTGTATTCATTTCTATGCTTGGCTGGCTTAGAAGATTTTTGCAGCCTAGCATATGTGCTGATTTCTTAAGTTTTCTTATTTTCACAGGGAAGTGATCTCTCTTTTCCATCCATATTGTTTTTCAAGCCAATTAATTGTTGGACAATGATTGATAAAAATATCTCTATAAAATAAGTTTTAAAGTTACTTAAAATTGTAGAGAAAAAAATAACTAATAGTTTGGAAATCAAATACACCAAATATACAGGATGTGATAGGTTATCACTATTTTATATTTTTATTTTGCGTATGTGTGTTGTTTTTTGATTTTATTAACTGCACTGTTTAGTAGGTTCAGTTGGGCACTTTCTGTAAGAAAAAAAGTACCATGACACAATTCACTCCACCAGAAATTTGGAAATGGCATGTTGTAATTCTTGGCATTCGCACTGGAAGGTCCAATACAAACATTTCAGTGTGTTTGGGTGTCAATTTGAGAACAGTGCAAAGGATTTGGAAATAGTTGGAAGAATCTAATGATGATTACGAAGTGTTTGAAGTGATCACTAGTGATGGCGATGTTATGCCCTCATTCATCTTCCCACAGGTCCTCAGATTCAATACGGAGGCCTACATCAAGTGACTTGAGAAGACAGTGCTGCCCTGGGTGGAGAGGGTCTCTGCTGGAAGACTCTGTCTAGCAACAGGACTCTGCATCATGCTACATAAGCAGGAGAACCCAGTCATAGCTGTCAGACAATTTCTGCGATGACATCACCCCATACATCAGGCCACCTAACTCCCCAGACTGCAAACCCCTTGATTATTATGCGTAGAGCACAGTTGAGCAAGAGACAAACAAAACTTCTTGTAATACCAAAGATGAACTGAAGGCAAAGATTATGGGAGTGTTCACCAACTTAAACAAGGAAACTATCCAGAAGAGTTGCAGGAGATTCTGAAGTCGTCTGGAAGCCGTCATTGAAGCCAATGGCAATTTTATTGAATAAATTTACTCTTTAGTATTTCAAGATATTTTTGTGTAATTTTAGTAAATATATCTGTTAAAATGAGATGTCCATGTTATTTTCATTTTTGCATAATTTAGGTGACAATTTATCCATCGCACCTTAAGAATCTTCTAAATTTGCAATATTTATGTAATATAGACAATGTCTTTTCTAAACCTATGAGGTGTTCTTATTTTTTATTTTTCTACAGTGAGGATCTCCCTGTACTATATATATATATATATATATATATATGTCAAGTTATTTTCATTTTTGCATAATTTAGACAAATATTTATCCATTGCACCATGTATAAGTAACATTTTAATCTACATTGTATTGTGAACTTTTTAATTATCGACAGCCAGTATGGGTTAAGCAACAATGATGAGAATGTACTGTAAATATTTTGCCTGTATATTCTTATAAGTACTGACTATTGCTGTTAGTGATATGGTTAATTTTATCTAAACTACCAACTCCATATAAGTGCCTTCTAAGTTCAATGATCAAAATGGCTTCAATTGAGTAAAGTCTGAGGATCTTGGCGAAAACCATCTTTCTTCAAACACTTTGTGATTCTGTAGCAGCAGTCCGAAGAACTGTACCAGATAACAGAAACCACATCACTTGAGGACTTCCAACAGCGGCAACAACTAAAATGTATAACACATGTAACTCAAAGAGAAAATAATGGTGTAAGCAAGAAGTTGATGTTTTATACTACTTCAAATAAAAGGTTAAGAAAGGATCCCTTCATCAGTACTGGAAAGAGTGATAACAGCGATTGGACTTGAGAAACCTATTTTCTTGAAAAATACTTTTAAGCGATAGATTATATAAATATAATGCTGAATGTTTTTGTTTATCCATGTTTGCCAAATGTTTTAAGTTTAAGTTTATTTATATTGTTTGGACTATTAGTTTAGATACTATTTTGTTTTCCTTGTCATTGTACATGTTTTAACCATATAACTGCAGTCCTCCATCTATATTTCATCGACTAAACAGCTTCACCCCATGATGTTTCAATTTCAGTTTGGATCTTTCTGAACAAAACCTAGGAAAAAACATAATTTTCAGTTCACAAGTGACCAGAACATGTGATATTGTCACAGTGAATAAAAAGAAAACGCAAATTGTGTTTTCAATATACTGGGTTCTTTATTTATGGATTCACCAGGAATGGTCTGGAGGGTTGAGCAAGTGACACTTGAGACATTTTCACTGCTACTTTTGTCTTCTCTCACGACAGACAAATAGACCAGATATTCCCTTTGATCACCAAGAATTACATCTGCTTGTGACTCTCTCTCTCTTTTTATTGCTCTGACTGCCCATGTGCTTATAGCCTTCTCAGGTTGAAATACTGGTTCTCATATGATCGCTGAAGTTAAGCAACATTGAACTTGGTCAGTACCTAGATGGGTAACCACTTGGGAATGTAAACTTGGATGCATGGGTTGGAATTGGAAATCATAGAGCCAAATTCCAATTCCAATCAGGTTCATTATATTCACCTACGTGCAAATACCCTTGGGAAAGGCATGAATCCACCTTTTCTCCCCCAGCTATAGATTAATTAACAAGACTTGTATCACTAAATCATTATTATCTCCAAAAAGAATCTTACAATCTGAAGTGAGCCCCTCCTACTATTGGAAAAAAGAAAATATATATTTGTATATTTATTTATCTAGTTAACATAAAATAAACCATCAGAATCTAACCAACCAATTTACAATCCAAAAATATTTTCTTGCTTTAAATAACCTGTGAAAGGTTGATAAGCTGTAAAAAAACAAAACAAAAAAAAACAATCAATCTGACAGACCATGCCTCTGCTTATGTCTTCTAACTACAGTCAGTTCAATCACTCTATCACAGACATTCTAGAATGTAGCCTCACTATATAGACCCATTTTTTTAATTGCTGGCAAAGTAGCATTTGATTTTGAATGTTTTTATTTAGTTACACTATTTCCTTTTTTTTGTACTTGTGGACAGAAAATGTCTTGCTTTCACAGTCTCACATGTAGATTTTACTGTTGGTCATAGAACACTAGTCACTTCAGGCTCAGATAAAATAATTTACAGCCC